GCCTGAGCCCGCGGGTTCGAGACCCACCTAGGCAACTTGGTGAGACCTCATCTCTACAATAAATCAAAAAATTAGCCGGGCTTGGTAGCGCGTGCCTGTAGTTCCAGCTACCTGGAAGGCTGAGGCGGAAGGATCGCCGGAGTCCAGCGGGTTGAGGCTGTGGTGGCCAGGAGCGGCCACTGCACTCCAGTCTGGGCGACAGAGTGAGACTCCAACTCAAAAATAAAAAATTAATTAATTAATTAATTAATTAAATAAAAGGTCGCATATAGCCGGGCTCCGTGGCTCAGCCTGTAATCCCACGCCTTTGGGAGGCTGAGGTGAGTGGATTGCCTGAGCCCACGGGTTCAAGACCCGCCTGGGCAGGCGAGACCTCATCTCTACAATAAATCAAAAAATTAGCCGGGTGTGGTAGCACACGCCTGTAGTTCCAGCTACGTGGAAGGCTGAGGCGGAAGGATCGCTTGTAGCCCAGTGGGTTGAGGCTGTGGTGGCCTGGAGCAGCCACTGCACTCCAGTCTGGGCGACAGAGTGAGACTCCAATTAAAAAATAAATAAATAAAAGGTCGCATAATATCCCATTGCATAGATGTACCATCCTTGATTTAACCTGTCCTCTGTTGATGGACATTCTAGATCGTTTCCAGTCGTCACCCTCAGAAGCAACACTGAAACGGACATCTTTGTGTCTACATCTCTTCCCCTCTGTGCTATTATTATATCTGAGGTGTAAGTTCTTAGAATAGGATTGCTGGACCAAAAGGCCTGTGCATTTTAATTTTGTTGCAAATTGGGGAATTCCCTCTAGAAATCTTTGTCAATTAACAAGAAAAAAAGATCTCTTTTGTTTCTAGCGGGTCTTGCTTTTTTTTCAAAGTCAGATTTCTCCCCAGTTGAGAAACCTTCCTCGTATCCATTTGTAAGTGGCATTATAAGCCAGGGACCAGAGTACTGTCCCAGCTTGACTGCCAGCTGGCTGGATGACCTTGAACAGGTAACTTAAGCCCAACCTCTTTGGGCCTCAGTTTCCCAATTTTGAAATGAGGGAGGTCAATGGGATGACCTTCCAGATCCTCCCAGAAAGCTGTAGGTCAGCAGGCCAGACCTCCCTGGGGTGCAGCTCAGTTCCAAGAAAGGCCTGGTCATTAGAGATAATGTAAACAATTTGACTCAATACAGTTCTCACCCCGAAACAAGTGAGGCTTTCCTGGGCCTGGGGTATCCATGGGCTCCACCATTCAGATCTCGGCAAAGTGTGACCTCCATAGTGGCTGTCCTAGACCCAACCAAACCAGCAGCCTCCCATCATTTGCTTGACTTTCTCCAAAGTATACATGACTCTCTGAAATATTTATCTATGTATGTATTGTTTGCCTCCCTGCTGGAACATGAACCTCAGGAGCACAGGACATTGGCAGCTGTGCCTGGTCCAGCCCAGATGGTCAGTGACTATCCATTGGCTGACTTGCTGGGAAAGGCTTCTTTCTGTACTGGTTTCTTGTTTAGGTGAAAACATCCTTAATATCCTATTTACAGTGAACCAGGACTGAAAAGCTCTATGGCAGATTCTTACCCCCACATTGTTTTATTTTTTTATTTTTTATTTTTTATTTTTTGAGTTGGAGTCTCACTCTGTCGCCCAGACTGGAGTGCAGTGGCCGCTCCCGGCCACCGCAGCCTCGACCTGCTGGGCTCCGGCGATCCTTCCGCCTCAGCCTTCCGAGTAGCTGGAATTACAGGCATGCGCTACCACGCCCGGCTGATTTTTGATTTATTGTAGAGATGAGGTCTCGCTGACCAGGCAGGTCTCGAACCCGCGGGTTCAGGCCATCCACTCACCTCAGCCTCCCAAAGGCGCGGGATTACAGGCTGAGCCACTGAGCCCGGCTACCCTACATTGTTTTAAATCTGTATTTATTTACCCTGACAGAAAACACGAGGTTTCTGGATCAGAGAATAGACCTATTATTTATTCACCTAGTAATGTTAGAGCTGGATTCCACACCCCAGTTCTTCACAGGCAATCTGGAAAAAGCTGAATGTACCATTAGGGTAGAGGGGTGTGTAGCAAGAGAGGAGCTCCAACATTGTGGCTCTTGGAGCTTATGAGGGCAGCGTGCCAGCTTCCTCCCGAACTTTACCCTGGAAGGGAAACAACTCCTGGGGAGGGGAAGAGGAGGTGAGCTGTACAGCCATCTCCAGGGCAGAGGTCGCTAAGACCCTCCAGTGGTCTCTGTCTCTGAATTCCAAGGCTCCTTTGCAGTCTGCCATCCTCCATCCCAGGTGCCAGTGGTCTGTGCTCAGATGCCCTGATCACGGGCAAACATGAAAGTATTCACAAAGCATCATTTCCCAACACACATCTCCTGAATTTAAAAATAACAGTCATCTATGTGTGTCTACTACATGCCAGAATTTTACATGTGGTGTTAGCTCATCACGATGGATCCTATTATCCTCTTTCGGCATATAGGAAGCTGAGACTCAGGCTGAGAGACTGACTGGGGGCGAGTCGGCATCGAAGGGCCAGGCTGAGATGAGAACTAGATTTGGGAGTGCCCCAAGGCGTGTCCTCCTCTCTACCACCTGACTTCCCCAAAGTCTGGTCAAGTTGGTTTTAACATATTTGGTCAGTTGCGGTGAAGCCTTTGAAAAGGAAAGCCTCCTACCTGTTTATTTCACATCTGTTTCACATGCTATGCACTGTTAGGCATGGAAAAATGAGAGAGATGTGGTTCTTTTTCCTTGTGGAACTTTCTTTCTTTCTTCTTTTTTTTTTCCTTCTTTTTTAGAGAGACAGGGTTTTGCTATATTGCCCACACTGGTCTCAAACTCCTCGTCTCAAGTGATCCTCTGGCCCCGGCCTACCCAAAGTGCTGGGATTACAGGCATGAGCCACCATGCCCAGCCCCTTTCTTGAGAGGTAGACATTAAACAAAGAATTACCCAGAGAGTTTTACTCTTGTAATCACAAGGGTGACAAATGAAGGGGGAAAAGATGTACAGGTCTTCCCCTGCCTCCTCCCAGGCTGGGGGCCATCCTCAGAGACTTCCCTGGGAGGGAACATTCTGTAGTGGTCCCAAGGCTGAATCCAGAGACTCGCCCCAGGCGAGATGTGGGAGAAGAATGTTCTAGATGGAAGAGAGGGCCCATGAAAGAGGAGGTGCAAGCTGCAGAGATTACCTGCTCTTTATCCACGGAGCTCTGGGGAGCCACTGCAGGTCTTAAGCAGGGGAAGGAATGGGATTCCCTGCATCAACTTCCCAATCATGTTAGATAGCCAAATGTCCTCCTTCAAGCCAAATCCCTTTTCTACTCTTTCCTAGGGACCAGGGAAGAAAAGTTGAAGGGCACGAGAAAGAACAAATTTAGAGAAATGCAAATTACTTAGAGTAAGTTTCATGGTTTTTTGGCGACAAGGGCAGCAACCCAGAAAGTCACAACCACAGAGGAGAGCAGCTGGTAGTGACATTTCTGCATCTCTTATTCCCACGTTTGCCTGGTCATCAGCCTGGGTGGCCTTCTGGAAGGCAAAGCATGCATTAGGGCCACTTACCACCCATGGGCGGTCAGTAGGAGGGAACCAGGAAGCTTCCAGAGAAACTGCCACGTACTCTGTCACTTCACATCCAACAGCCAGCTCCACTGGGGGCCACAGTCATAGCAAACAATGGTAATATTTACCAAGTATTTCTAGGGAAATGAGTGCAAAGTGCAGGAAATGCAGTGCAAATTGCTAGAGCGCAGTACATTAGCAACATAGGACATTTAATGAGTCTGGGATGTGAAGTACGAATTTCAGGAAAATGTCAATTGCAGCAATGTAAACAAGAGGCTTCTTAATAGCTCATCATTCTCCATAAGACTTTATTTCAGTCTCTGGTTATAACTAGAGCTGTGATTCTTGAGAGAGACTTGGTTCTAAACATCAGGAAGGGGATCATAGGAGGAAGGAGCGGTGTAGGGGTTGCTAGTGGATCACAAATTAGCAAAGAATATTGGGGACACCAATGCGATCCCATTTGAGGAAACTTCTGCTGGGACTGGTGTGCTTCCCTGAAAAATGGTGAGACACAATTGTTCACATCTGTAAATCCAGAAATTTGGGAGGCCAAGGCGGGAGGATTGTTTGAGCCCAGGAGTTTGAGACCAGCCTGGACAACATAGCGAGATCTCGTCTCTACAAAAAAATTAGCTAAGTGTGGTTGCATGTGCCTGTGGTCCCAGCTACTTGGGATGTTGAGGTGGAAGAATAGCCTGAACCCAGGAGGTCGAGGCTGCCGTGAGCTGATTGTACCACTGCACTCCAACCCAGGTGACAGAAAGAGACTTCACCTCACCAAAAGAAAACAGGCGTTTAAAAAAATTTTTTTAAAAACTTGATTCTTAGGGTGTGCTGTGGTCTGAATGTTTGTGTTCCCCCCAAATTCATGTGTTCAATCCTAACTCCCAAGATAATGGTATTAGGTGAGGCCTCTGGAAGGTGTTTAGGTCTCATGGATAAGATTAGTGAGTGCGCTTGTAAAGGAAACCCCAGAGAGACTCCTCACCATGTGAGGGTGCAGTGAGAATACACTATCTATAAACCAGAAAGCAGGCTCACCAGAGACTGAAACTGCCCTGATCTGAGAATTCCCAGCCTCCAGAACTGTGAGAAATAAATGTGTTGTTTCTTAGCCACCCAGTTTATCATGTTTTGTTATAGCAGCCCGAACAGACTATGACAGAGGCAAAAACTGCCCATGGCTGCAGATGGAGATGATACCTTGTCAAGGTCAGGGAAAGATCAAGGTCAAAGTCAATACATTTTCTCTCTCAGGCAGTCACATTCTGCCTGTCACTGGGACTGAGGAAATGGCTCCACCTAGACCCACCTCTTGACAGCTTAACCGAGAGTCACGTAAGGTTAGGAAGCCCACAAGTATGGGCCATAGACAAGCAGGGTGCTCACTTGTCCTTCTTCTCTGCAGTCCCTGACAGTATCATCATGAAGGTGCTGGGCCAGCGCCTGGAACAGCAGGACTGCGTCCAGAAAGGCTGGGTGCTGCATGGCTTCCCACGGGATCTGGACCAGGCGCACATTCTGGACACCCTGGGCTACAATCCCAACAGGTAAGCTGCCTACTGGAGCCCTCAGCCCTCGCCTCACCCCTGAGAGCCCTCCCTCTGGGGTTCAGCTGACATTTGACAACTTTCATGTTACACGAGCCTTCACGTGTTCTGAGTCTTCACGTGTGGAAGGTCTTTTGCTCAACCCTATTCCCACCTCCTTACCCCATCTACCCTGTAGACTAGGAGTCAAGCTCCAGTTCAAATCCTGGCTCTCAGTCTCCTTGCTGAACCTGGACTTCCTCGTCTATAAGACAGTAATAAACACCAAATAGTCTTGCCTTCTTGGTAGTGTTGTTGTGCAAATCAACTGATGTTTTCTTCTATTATTTTTACAGTTTCGTTTTCTACATTTAAATCTTTGGTGTAACTGATATTTATTGTGTTGTGAGTATATAGTGTGCATCTTTTTTCCCCAAATGGTTCATCATTTGTTCCAAAACAGTGTTGAATATTCTGTCCTCTCTCCACTAGTTTGGACTTGAGCGCTTACCACAATTGTATACAAGGTCTGACAATTAAGTTCATGAACTCATTCTAGAAAAAGTGCTACCTACCTCATTGCTGAATATCATCACGGTTATCTTCAAAGTACTCCCCTTGAAAACTATGCACCCATGCCAGCACCTAGTCAACCTGGCAAAGCAGTTTTGGAATTCTTTTTCTGGAATGGCCATCAAAGCTGTCATTGTATTACCTTTGATGTCCTGAATGTTATCAAAATGTCATCTTTTCAGTATTTCCTTTTATCTTTGGGTAAAGAAGAAAGTCATCAGGGGCAAGATCAGGTGAGCAGGGAGGGTATTCCAATACAATTATTTGTTTGCTGGCTAAAAACTCCCCCACAGAAAGTGCTGTGTGAGCTGGTGCATTGTTGTGATGCAGGAGCTCCTTTGGAACTGTGTTTGCACACATCTTTCTCATGCCAAGATTTTCAGTTAAGAGTTTTCTAACTGTTTTTTTGTTCATGTTTATTTGGTCAGGTTATGTGTCTCACAGTCAGCTGACAATTTTGATGCACAATTCAACAAATTTTTGCTATGTTTTAATCAGTTCTGCTCGTTACTGGCCATCCTGACTTCTCTTCATCAGTGATGCTTTCTCTCCTCTCAGAAAAACATTTAATCCATTAGTACACTGCTGTTTTCTTCATGACATTATCCCCATAAACTTGGGCTAACATGTCTCTGATTTCATTTCCACTCTTGCCAAGTTTAACAAGATATTTAATGTTTGTTCATTGCTCTAATTCAAGCTCTGACATTCTCATGAGGGCACACAAAAACATGCAACAGTAATAACGTACACCACTCAGCAAGACACCACCACATGTCAGCACAAACACACTGTGAGACACTGATGTACTAAGGTTATGAAACCTTACCTAGTTGTTTGTACAGCGCTGCCAAAATAAACATGCGGTGGCAAGTTCACAAACTTATTGTCAGACCTCGTGTATCATGGAAAACAATGAAAACCCCCAAGTGAAAGCAAACAAAGGCTATTTAGTCAGAGCTTGCAATAGCAAGCAGTTCAGCCACCATCGTTTGGCCTTTTAGCAAAGACTCACCGGCAGGCAGAGGAGAAGGGTAGCTTTCTAGTGGAAGGTGGGAAAGGCTTCAGTTCCATCATGCCCTGACTAGAGGTTGTTGGCTGGAGAAGCTGGGTGGGCTGACTAGAGGGGACGTCCTATGCAGCTGGTTAAGAGAGCATATTTGGCTTTCTCTGGCTGGTCCCACATTGGAGAGGGTGGCAAAAAGGAGGGAAGCTGTCAGTTATTGATCAATTTTTGGCCATGTGGGGCTGATTATTGCAGAGATTATGGTTTAGCTTCCTGGGCAGATTGCTGCAGGTTGTGGATTCAAGTTTTTATTTTCATTTTTTAATTTTTTGGAGACAGGGGTCTTGCTGTGTTGCCCTTACTGATCTCTAACTTCAGGGCTCAAGCAACCCTCCCGCTTTGGCCTCCCAAAGTGCTGGGATTACATGTGTGAGCCCCTGTACCTGGCCAAGTTCTATTTTTATATACAGTCTTGCCATCATACATATGTATGTGCAGTCTCTCAGTATACTGGGCCTATTTATGAACTTTATGTTTTTTTTGAATATCTATTTATGGTAGTAGTATCACACTGTTTAGCCTCTTTATTTTGTCATATACTGTATTTCTTTTTTTTTTTTTTTTT